GATTGAATTATGTCCAGTCAGTAATATCAAAACGTAGTACAAGTGATATGGATACCGAGGCATGGGATATTACACAGTGAACTGGCCGACTTATCGGCAGAACAGGGTTCTAAAATAACACTTCTGAGACGCTTTGGCATGTCCGACTGGGCTGACAACCCACTATAAAGAACTGAAGAAATCTAACAAAAAAAAGTTTCAAGATACATGCAAAGCTACTTATACCCTTCGTAACACAATCAATAAATTTTTTTGCCCAAAAATTGTATCAAATAATTCATGATCCTCAGATACAACATCGATTATTTATCCAAATAGCATTAACAATATATTTTTTTGTAATTAAATTATTTGGTTATTCCGTCAAATCACAATGTATTTAAAATAAGATAATTACAATTGTAAATAGATTATTCGATATGGAACACAGAATGATATTTTAATTATTTTAATTATCTTATTTTAAATACATTGTGATTTGACGGAATAACCAAATAATTTAATTTTAATTTAATAAGTCACAATATGACGCAACTACACTATCTTACTGAATAATAAGTACTGTAATTGTTAAGCGCTGTTTCCTTTCAGGTACGGACTGAAACTTTAAATATTAAGACGACATTCGGGGTCGAAGTTTAAACAGAACTGGGAAGCAACTACGACAAAGTAACAAGTTAAATGTATGTTTCACGACTATTCGCAGGAGACTTTCACTTAAAAGAATATCCATTCAAATTAGGTTTAATTTATGTTTGTATTAGCAGCAGGTCCCTAAACTCAAAACACGGCGACGAAATGACAGTCTTCTGTTAAATCCCGTCGCCTAGTGCGGTGGAAACTGATCGATGTTTCAGAGCGCGATGTCTTATAGCCCTGATGATGGAGGCAGTAAGAACCTCTATAAAAGTAAAGCTGCCTGGCTACTTGTCATGATGGCGCTGGGTGGCGGAGAGCGGTTGTGGTGGTAAGAGTAATAGATCCTTTATTCTCGACCTCAACACTAGATGTTCGTCACGCCCCGGCAGCAATTTGGGGAAAGGGCCCCCGATGCCCCTAAGGTAAGAAGCTGGCTCAGTCCGTAGTAAGAAATTATACCGACTGAGCTATTCCGGTCCACTATGTACCTCTGCAATGTCGGTCAAGTTCTCAAAGACAATTTAACTACGTTGTCAGGAGCTGAAGACGAAATGACATCAAAAGTTTTCGTCTCTCTAGGGCTCATTTGTTGAACCATAAGGAGTCCAGTAAGTTATATATTTATTTAGTGTTCTGTCTGACGACAGGTCCATATGAACAGGATCCTTCCATCCTTTTCTCGGACTGGGACCTGTTCATATACGTTCTTGGCAGATAATCCAGAAGTGGTTTCCATTGCCTTCTTCTGTGTGTGAATGCTAAATTTTGTAGCTCTAAACAACGCATTTGCAGACCTGTACAACAAACGGAACTACTGTCAGGGAAGACCTTTATCTTCGACTGTTAAACGTACAAAAGAGTTTACGAACTGTCGAATAAGAATTTGGAAATACCCAATCATTCTGGCCAAACATTAAGTTAAAATTCTATTTAAAGTATCAGCACTATTGTCTAATTTACTGTACAATATTTACAAAGACTTTATGACAGTGAACGGAGGAAAATTCCGTGTTGCCTAGACCACGGCCTTGCCCAACACAAGTTATAAATTCGGGCACCGCCGGGAATCGAACCCGAGACCCCAGGATTACAAGGCCAGCGTTCTAACCGCTAGCCGGCCGTGTCCAGTAAGTAGACTAATTCAAAGATGGTTGCTTGTCGTCTGGAGATCAAAAATCCTACTCAGACTAATGCAATTTGTTCAGTTTGCACGGGTGTTAAAGGGATAGATTACTGGGACGGACAAGACGCCATTACTGGTCTATTGTGTTCTATTCCCATGTTTTCCCGTCATTTTATTTCTTCCCTTATTTAACGACGCTTTTCCAGCTATATAGGATATGCATCGTGGGTCGATATATGGTAATGTCTTCGCGTTGTATAATAACACAGTTTCAGTTTCAGAAAAATAGAGCATCGCAGGTTGTTTTAAGGTAATCACTAACGCTGAGTATGGTCGAATTTTAAAGAAGATGGCCGTGGCCTATTTTAAGGAGTCTCGGTATTCGCCTTGTGAGACCGCTAAGAATTATACCACAGTCGAGATTTC